TTCCTTCCTTCCTTCCTTCCTTCCTTCCTTCCTTCCTTCCTTCCTTCCTTCCTTCTTTTCTTCCTTCCTTCCTTTCTTTCTTTTTTAAAGGACTTTCTTTATCCTTTTCTTTTATCTCTTCCAAGCCTACATATATTTTTTTTAACACACTGAAAACTGTTTAGAGACTTTTTTTTCATCTGAATCTCTCTTTATTGCATATTTCCTTTTCTGACCACATTAGTCCTTAATCTGATGAGCAATATGGCTAGGATTAAAGCTGCATCTTTGGTGGCTGAGTCCACCTTATTCCTTAATAAGAGAATTAAGGAATTCTCATTAACATGAGAGTCTAGCTTCATGTTGGAGGTGCTGGTGGGAGCCATATTTTTTTTACAACCCTGTGGAGTGTCTAGGGCCATGCCATCACCAAGAATCCTGTTCAGGTAAGGAAGCTAAGATGGGGTAGATGGGAGATGGGTTCAGTTTTTCTCTTAACCCAGGTGGCTAGGGTTAGATCTAGCTCTGGCCTGTGCCAGTGGCTAAAAGCCTCAGGTAGATGGCTTTTTTGTGTGTGTGAATTCATACCCCCACATTGGGCACCAAGTAAAGCATGATTAATAAAAACCCAGAGACAGATATTAAAGAGCCCAGTGTTTGGATGCCTTGCTTTTCTGATCTTCAGGTTGAAGCCCAATATCTGTCTCTGAGTTTTTATTAATTGTGCTTTAATAGTAATAAAATAAAATAAAAATATAATAAAATAAGAATTTCCACACTCAATACAAGTTTATGCATTCAGGAAGCTGGTGATAAGCAGAGACAATGAGACTGCTTGCTTGAGCAAGTGGAAGCTAAATTCTAGATATAAACAGAGTACAAGGTAAATTTCCACATTTCGTGTGTTTTGAAATTCTTGATTTCTAGTGTGACTTTTTCATGGAATTGAGTCCCTTCTAACCTTCTCTTAAGGCAATAAATATGCATGAGAAAGAAATGGTATGATTTGTATTCCAAAGGCTATGAATTTATAGCATGGACAAAAGAGGATTTATTTATGAATGAGGTCTGTAACTAAGAATAGGCCACTCAATATTGTGGGACTAGGACGACATGGCGTGTAGGGTGTGTGTGAACATATGTCATTAGAAAATTGGAGCATTGACATGGAGCAGCCTTTCGATTAAATTGTGAAATAATCCTCTAACTATTTGGGTCAGCATGAGAGGGTAGAGAAAGGGATTTTGGCTTTACTGTATTTTGGTTCTCACTATAGTCACCAAAACACTTAAAAAAGCAAAACGGTAAAGGTAAGTATGAATCAAAGCTAAGTAATATGAGCTGATAAAATACCTGCACACAGATTAATAGAAATGGGTTAATTTAAGTTGTAAGAGTTGGTTATTAAGAAGCCCGAACCATTGGCCAAACAGTGTTGTAACCAACAGACTTCCTGTGTGATTATTCAGGTCTGGGGAACATACGAGCAGTCTCCATTTACATACTAAGTGACATCTGCCGTATTATGGAAGTGTTTCTTACCTTGAATGTAGACAACGCATGTATCCATTTCATTAAACACTTGTCTGATGCTGTTTAACCCCCAGACTGAAGTCTTGCTGGATGAAGGTCTCTCATTTTTTGTCCTGAGTGGGGAAGAAGACTCAGTCGTGAGCCGGTCTGCAGAGCAGGTTGAATTTGTTTTTCTATTTTACATCCTTACTCTCCCCCAAACCAGCAATTTATTAAAAGCATAGGATGAAAGAACTGGACAGGAGATGGATCCATTTATAATGAGTCTTTCTCTGTCCTACCAGCCAGCTTCCAAATAACAACACAGAGATTTCTTATTAGTTATGAAAGCTCAGCCTTAATTTAGGCTTGTTTCTAACTAGCTATACTAACTAACTCACACCATTTCTATTAATCTATGTGCTTCCATGTGGCCCATGGTTTTTACTTCTCCTTCTACATGCCCTGCTTCCTCTGCGTCCAGCTGGAAACTCCCCTTTTCTTCTTCCCAGAGTTCTTTCTGTCTGGAAGTCCCACCTATATCTGCTGCCTTGCTATTGGCCATTTAGCTTTTTGTTAAACCAGTCACAGTGGCGTCTTTACACAGTATAATCAATTATCTCACAACATCCCCCACCCCTCTCTTTTGTGTGTGTGTGTGTGTGTGTGTGTGTGTGTACTGTGTTTTGTTTTGGGACAGGGTCTTCCCTGTAACCCAGGTTGGCCTGGAGCTCTGGACCCTCCTACTCAACCTCCTGGGTGTTAAGATTGCAGGTGTGCACCCTCACCTTGGAAGGTCTTGTCTTCGCTTCATGTTGTATCCTTCACTACCTTCAGGTGTCTGATGGAAGATACTGTGCCTGGAAGTCCTATCTAAAATAATAGTCCCAGCCCACCCAGCCCTTCCCCTGCTTTGTTTTTCTCCATAAGTCTTATTACTGCCCAATACAGATGTTGTCATCTACTTATTTTCTTCCTGGAGCATATTAGGATTTGTCCAATATTTGCATATAAAAAGCTATTTTTCAGTCCTTCCAAGATCTTAAATACTAAGCCAGCTGACCTTCTAGCATCTTAAGATTTAGGCTAAGGGGTAGTATTTTCTGGGAAAGGAGAAACTTCGGTCCCTGCTCATCCCACCCAGCAGAGCGCAGGAGCCAGCTGCACTTTTCTTCTCATAGAGCAAGTATGAAGAAGCCAGCAAAGGGTGGGGCCATGGGCCTGGCTGGGCATGCTGGAGTCCAGGTTAGAAGAATGCTACCTGGGGTTATCTTGGAAGCCTATCTTCCTAATGGAAGGCTGTGGGAAGCCACTATTCCTGTCAGATAGAGAAGAAATCTACTTTTCAGGAGGCCAAAATTGAGTATGTCCCCTTCCTGCAGAGAGAAAGGTGGGTGGTCCAGCCTAATCCCTGAACTCAGGGTGAAGTCTGAGGATGCTCTCAGCGGGTTCTGCTCATCACTCCACAGCCAGGGAGGGTTGTTCCTTTGAGATAGTCAGGGACAGTGTCTCCTCTTGTCACACAGTGCTCACATGTCCATCTACGTTTGGGTCTTCTGAGCTTAGACTCCCTGCCACCCAGCAGCCGACAGCATAAGGAGTGTCCTGCTGTGAGCTGCACACTGAAGACCAGGAAGGTGATGATCTGGGAAATTAGTTGGATTAGACTAAGTGAGAAAGAGTTAGAAATATAGGACTTATTGAGTTAAGATTGTAGCCTGACCCAAACTGAAAACAAAGACAGGTTAGATAAGGCTCTCAAACATGCCTGTAGGTCAGGGGCCATCATCAGGGTCCACACTGGAGAGCCTACTATACTCAGACATCAGGATTGAGAATGCTGGCTATGACCCCAGTGGTGTAGAGGAACACTGGCATGGAAACATCAGCTGGGGTAGAGAACCCGTTTTAGTTGGTGGTAAGAATATTTAAGGAGCTCCTCTGTGTGGAGATTCCCCTCCCCAAAATAAAATCTTGCTTCTGCTTGTTGGTATCATACCTTGTTTGAATTCTAAAGGCATTCTGCAAAGCTATCCAGTCATAAAATATTTCTGTGATTTCCAAAAAAAGTAGGAAGTGGGGAATGATGGTAGACACAAGCCTGAGTGATGCCCAACTGTCCTTCATGTTAATGCTGGGAGGGGAAATGAGGTAGATAGAAGGTTGAGAGAAAAACAGCAAAAACTGTGATTGAAAAATGTCACCATGAAACCCAGTTCATCATTAATGAAAAGAGAAGTTGCTGAGTCCCCAACTCCAAAATACGTGCAAAAATTTGTTAGGGTTGATCAAAGACCAGGTAAAGGTCTGTAGTCACAAGATTTCCGTGAGCCAGGGGTGCTGGCACACACTTTGGATGTGTATGTGGCTCAGCAGCTGTTGGGAGGACCAAAGCAGGGAGATCATGTTTTATTTTAGGCCAGTGTGAACTACACAGTGAGTTCTGCACTGACCAGAGCACCCTACTGAATCTCTATCTCAAAAAAAAAAAAACCAAACAAAAATAAAAAATGAGTCTGTGGTTCTATTTTATTACTTACCCTAAATGTACATTTTCAGAATCGAAAGTTTTTAATTGGATGATATTTTCTTCAATATGTAAAGATTTTATATTACATAGTCACCTGAAACAAGTGAATTATTAATTTTTTGTGAGTATACCTGTACTTATGACCACGATAGAAAGATGTTTATCAAAATAATATATCTATTTCTTCCTATACTCAGATTTTTAAACAACTTTTATAAATAATCCAATTTTAGAATTTCACTGTAACCACTTTACCATGAATTCCTTCCTTTTCTCTTTATTATTTTCTCTTGAATATGTTATAGAAAATAGTCTATCTATGCCACATCTTTTTAGGTAATGTGTCCTTGGGAATGGAGAAAATCAAATGGGATGGATGTTGTTTTTCCTACGTTGTTCTATTACCAATCAATAAAGGCTTGGAAGTCAGATTTTGGGGGTGAAAACATGATAGATCAAAGAAGCAGTAGGGGAGGGGTAACCAGCTGACCTCTCTCCAAGAGGTTAAAGGACCATGATCTGTTAAATACATCTGGGGTACACAAGCTTGATTCCTAGTTACCTGCTTCAGACTCAAGCCCAGAAACATGTAAAGGAAGTTAGATTAAGCTTACTTCTAGAATTAATTTTTTTGAGGTAATATTTATACCTTAAGAAAAGTTTTAAAGAATCAAATAAAAACCAAAGATTATGAGATTAGTGACAATAGTCCCTTAATTTTGGTTTTTCTCCTGTCCCGTACCAGGTGGCTCTTCAGACATGAGACAGAGATTTTAGATTTTTCTTTAACAAGCACACTTGGGTTTGAGAAGGAGAGAGCCATGTTCCAACTCCAAAGCCAGCTTTAATTTTTAATTGAATTGGGACCACAAAGAAACCATTTGCCTTTTATATTTGTACAGAGCAGCAAAAACAAGTATTTGGGAAAACTTACGAAATTCTACCCGGATGGAGATGTGCTATACCATTAAGCCAATTTACTTTTTTTTAAATTTATTTATTTGTTTATAAAAATTTCCACTTCCTCCCTCCTCCCCATATCCTCTCCTTCCCCCCACTCCCTCTCCTCCTCCCCCCTACTCCCTCTCCACCACCTGTGGGAATGGAGTGTCTCCTGTGCCTCTGTAGAGGATTAGCCCTAGCACCAGCAGGTATCGGGGTGTCCATTGTCCCTGCAGCAGGTGTGCATGTGGGGGAGCCACAGCAAGGAAGGGTGTGGGGGTGGCAGGAGAAGCAGCCTGGGCACTGGAGGAGTGGTGGCTTCAGAAGCCACAGCGTGATCTCCTGCTACACATTGGATGCCAAAATGTGCTCATCTCAGTCACTCGATTATCAATAAAGACTCAGGAGTCAGGTATTGGGGGTGAAAACCTGATAGATCAAAGAAGTGGCAGAGGAGGAGCGACCAGCTGATCCTCTCTCCATACTTCCCAGATCAAAGAAAGCACAGGAAATCTCTTAAGCTCCTCCCTGCTCCTTCCTGTGCATCTTCTCTATCCATATTCCTGGCTTCTCCATGGCTATTTCCAGTCAGCCAGTTGCTGGCTCTGCCCCCTGATTCAAGGTTAACTTTATTGACAGTCTCAGGTGTCACTGTGCAATCACATATCTTACAACAGAGGAAGTTTGATGAAGACTTGAATATAGGTCTTGTATCCTGTAGGTCCATCTGGGTCTTGTGTCTGAACCATTTCCCTAGGGCAGAATGGGACCTAAGATGTTATTCTGTTTCAGCAACAGTCACTGGGGAATTGACCACTGAACTATAAAAATATATAACAATAACCTTAGACGAGTTCCTTTATATTCAGCAAAACTTATTTTATCAACAACATTTTATAGTTTCAGCAAGCACTTTATCTGGGCTAGATGAATTGGAAGGCCACAATAGGGAAACAAAATGTGTCATTTGTCTGCATACTGGTCATGGGGGGAAAGCATGCAGACTGGTTTTTCCTTTTTGATATCCAACAGAAATCAGTCAATGATAGTTACTTCAAACCCTCTGCATTTGGTGATAGTTCACAAAACGTTGCTCAGGGCCAAGACGAGGATTTTGTGGAAGAAGTCATTCTAATGGATTTATTTGAGGTGAAAGCTGCAGAATATGAAGATGATCAAGAGCAGATACAAAAACAGGAGGCAAATATTTTTTTGCCAAGTAGTTCTCCAGGTAATACACTCCCCCGAAATACACAAGTCATGCATGTGTCATGTTACAGGGTGCTGATTTGTGTGCATGTTGGAGCGGTAAAAGATACTGATCTTATATGTATGAGTTATCCCACTGTGGACTTTAAAGTGCTTATCTGAGTTTTGTCATTAAGTGGCCAACCAGCATAAACTGCCCAAAGGCATGATGCCGCGCATCCTAGAAGACGAAGGATTCTATACTAAAGAAAAGCCAGTGATGTGTAAAAAGATCTGCAACAAAATGGAAAACCGCCTGCTCCAGGAGGCAAGTGTACCAGCTAACATGTGACATTTGTTTATAGTGAAATATTCAATTACTAGATTTTGTACATATTTCTGATAGGGAAAATGTTGGTTCGAAGAAAGTGGAGAGATAATGTCATTGCCTTCACCTATTAGACAATCTTGGAATTTTAGGATCAGCACGAGCAAGGAATCTTTGAATCCGGCACTGAAGACTGTACTCAGGAAGGTAAGCGGCAGTAATCTGTTTGTAATCGTGCCTGGATAACAGCTCTTGTAGTAGCAGTTATCACATGTTCTATAGTTTTACTTTACCTTCTAAGTATACTGAGCCTAGTCATAGAATAGCTAACCTTGGATGAAAATATTAAGTAATCTTTAAGATTATTGCGTGACACTGGGAGTGGACTCTGAGGTTTCAAAAGTCCAAGCTGGCCAGGCCCAGTCTTTCTTTCTTTCTCCTTCTCCTCGCTTTCTACTTCTTTTCTGCTCTCCGTCTCTCTTCCCCTCTCTGTCTTCCTTTGTGTGTGTTCAGCTTTGTCTGTCTGTCTCTCTCTCTATCTCTCTCTGCGTCTCTGTCTGTCTGTCCATCTGTCTTTCTCCCCGCTGCCTGAAGATCAGGATGTGGCTCTCAGCTACTGCTCCAGTACCATCCATGCCACCATGCTCCCCATCATGATGATGATGGACTAAACCTCAGAAACTGCAAGCCAGCCCCACAATAGAACAGTGATGAATACAGTGATTAATAAGAGAAAGGGAAATTCCTTGGTTTATGGGTTGAATGGGTGAACTTTGGTCTTGTATGCCAAGATGGAGAATTTTTGGAAGTGGAAGTTCTAACTTTGTATCTCCTAAGATAATTCATTCCAGTGCCGCGTTCTTATTGTTTCCTACTGTTGAATTAAAATCTGCCTCCTGAATGCTCTACTTATTTGACCATATCTGGCTACAGAAAACTTATAAAGCACATTACCCCTGTGACAGCTGAACTATTTGAAGTCTATAGTCACTCCGTCCTTTAGCTTTTGCTTACAGTGTAAACTCATGTCCTAAGATTGTTTTTAGAAATTCCATCAGCTCAGTTACTGTTTTAGCTTCTGAGGACCACAGCCAGTAAGTATTGTGTTGGAGGAGGGCCGCTTGTTTGTTTCCCAACTGCTCAGCCCCCAAATAATCATACAGAAACCATATTATTTAAACTACTGCTTGACCCATTAGCTCTAGCTTCTTATTGGCTAACTCTTACATATTAATTTAACCCATTTCTGTTAATTTGTGCATCATCATGAGGTCATGACCACCCAGCAAAGTTTCAGCAAGTCTGTCTCTGACAGCAGCTCTATGGTTTCTTCCTGATCCATCCTTCTTTTTCCCAGCATTCAGCTTAGTCTTCCCTGCCCAGCTCCATTCTACCCTATCATGGGCTCAAGACAGTTTCTTTATTCATTAACCAATGATATTCATAGCATACAGAAGGGAATCTACCATCAGTATTGAGTAAGCAAAGACCAAGCAAAGACTAATGTCTCCCCACCAGGACAAATAAAATCAAGTGTGTGTCTTAGCTAGCTAGTGCTAAACAAGACAAGCTTCTCTAACTTGAATCCCCAGCTTTATCATCTAATAGTTTTAAACTGAAACGACTATCTTTTTGGTGTTTTTCCAGGTCAACTTACCAGTGTACTATTAACTGATCAGTTCCTTAAGTGGACTTGAGCGGGGCATTATATAGAGAACAGGGACTTAACAGACATGGTTAATAAAAACTAAGCTTTTGTTACTTTTCTCCTTCCTCCTTGAAGACACTAAGGCTGAATTACTAACTCAAGAAAAAGCAGAGAGGCAGAGGTTTAGGATCAGTGCTGGTGGCCTCTAGTTCTTAGGGAGCACCCAGTCTGCCATACCAGGTTTGGGGTGACCCATCATTTATTCCAGAACAACAGAAGGTGTGATAGTAATGACTGAAGGCATAGTTTTTGTCAATTTTCTTTTTAAATAACAGAATTACAGGCTGTGTAAACATCAAAGAAGTTTACTGAGTCCTTGAGTCTTCCCCAAGGTCATGGGACCACATCTGATAACGACCTTGCTGATATGAAGATGGATGCTAAAATCCCACACTAGTTCAGAATTGAGTATGCTTATAATAAAGGGTTATTTATTTAAGGGTAGACTCACAGATCACAGTCCTCTGCTCAAATGGGAAAACAGCAACCGAATCCAGCCACCAAAAGAGAGGGCAGACACGTGCTTTATTTACATTGCATTTATAGTATAAGAGGCCACACCCAAGTAGGCAGGTAACTTAAAGGCTAATGGCTGAAGGATTTCCTACAGCACCCCCCCCTTATGTTTAAATAACAGAGTTCTAAACCTAATACAAAATTATATACAATAAGAACAAATATCAACTATAAAAATTAGAATTGCATCCAGCATAAATAATATCAAGGAAGAAATGTGATAAGTGTTTCAATAATTATCCTATCCTAAGGAGTCTAAGTCTTGTATGATAAATAACTTGGCCAAGTCATGAGAGGAAAGTAACTATGACTATCTAGTATTCAACCCCATCGAAGACCTGAGAAGGGAAATATTACTTGAGTAAGCAGGAAGTGCAATCAAGTAACTTCTAAAATGTGTAACAAATGACAGAGAAAACTGGCTACCTGGGCAATCACCCAAAATCTCATTGGCAATGTTGGAGCAACCAACTCTGGCTAAGGCCTAGAGTAACTGACAGACCATTTTCAGAGGCAGGAAATTTTTCAAAACTGTCTTACCTTGTCTTGGCAGGATTTGACAGGCTTGCTTTCTTGCTTGCTTGTTTGTTTGTTTGTTTGTTTGTTTATCCTGCCTGTCCTATACAGACATCATGCATTTTGTCAGTGATCGATACATGGGGAGTTCCTTGCCCAAAGGTCAGATTTTTCAAGAAGAAAACAAGCTCCAAGTGGAGTGTCTTTGGTGCTCAACATTCTCTTGGGAATAGTTTGGTGCTGCCAGGAGCAGTTGTGTCTCACATCAATAGAACCCTAAGTTGTTTAAATGCCATATTCTACAGCTCTTTGAAGTGGCTGAAGATTACATATCTATGCAGAATACAATCTCTTTGTATCTAAAAAACTTGATTAGCCTAACTATAAGTATGACAAACATGGATGACTATTGACTTATAATTCTTAATACCTATGTGACTCAAAAACTAAGACTCCATATTAGAATATTAAACAATCTTTAAACAACTGTGCAACAATGACCTCAAAGTGTATCAATATACAAAATGTCTTAAGCAGAGGTAGAAGCATGCATGTATAGAATATGACAAAATAGTTTTGCCTAAATATACAAATATTGTAGACAAAGATAGGAACATATTCAATATAATTTAAGTTTGTATCAGTATAGAAGAATCTATACCAATGTAAATTGCCTATAAATAATAGCTCACAAGTATTTACTCTGTAACTCACTATTATTATTAGTGTGAGTAAGCTCACACTTATCTATTATCCCATCCAATTTCCCTTTTTTTAAAAAGAGATCCCTGAGCCTACATAATTTCCCCTCAACTGCCAATCCTATATCAATTATAATCAACCCTAATTGTTGGCTCTAACCGAGGACAAACTTTGTTGGGAGAGGGGACATTGTCTCCTAGAATTACTTCCAGCTGTCATGGGGGTAATGTTCTTTCTATGGGATCCTGTGAAAGTAAAATGATGGTTAAGTTTCAAGATTACTGTCTGGTATAATTGCAAATAGTCTCTGAGTATTCAGAAGGGTTTTTCTGAGGTTTCTATTTGGAGTTCTGGACAAAACTTTGTAAAAAGGTGCATCATTTCAGCTAACCATGTTGGAGCCATCTTGAACATCTGGTACCCAAAACAAGTCTTATAGTAGTGCTATCAGCATCATGATGGAGTCACTGTTGTAGGGCTCCATCTTCTTCCTAAAAACTTCAAAATTTATTGCAGGAAAATTCATTGTTCAATGTAGAAAGCTTAAACATTATTTATACAGACATATATTCAATGAAAGGAATGACAGAGACAAATATACATATGAAGAAAAGTAAATTTTTTTCTAAATTCTTTCTTCTTTCTGTCCCATACCAGATGGCTCCTGACATGAGACAGAAACTCTGAATTTTATTTTTAACATGTTTGGATTTAGAGAAGGACAGAGCCATTGTCCAACTCCAAAGCTAGCTTTGATTTTTCAAGTGAGTCATGATTATTATTCTAGTTAATATTCAGAGATTCTTACTCTCAGACCTGTCCTCATAAGTCATAATTCTCTTTGCTTGGTGATCCTATCTGGATAGTTATCTTTTCCTCTTAAGGTATGTAGATGTCCAGGATATCTTGACTGTTTGAAATGATTATTTTCCTGCAAAGACAAGAACAGAAACCTGCCCCAACCCTTATAAGGTTTTCTTATCACCTGTATGATTGTCACCTCTATGGATGAGCCGTCATTTCTCTTTCTTAAAAGATTTCTCTTTTTCAAACTGAATCTTTATTAATTTTGATGATATTCATAACTTTTCTTCCCCTGTGGAAACAAGAACGAAAACCCCTTCCCCAATGTAACATATCTCCTGGCTTCTATTATGAGGTCAACACATCCTTGAAATAACCAGCTGATGTAATTCAGAAGACTTTTCTATTATAAAATGTCTCTCTGCTGCTGTTGTTCCTTTCTCATTAACATTAAAAAACTCAAGGTTAATAAAACATTATGTAATTTATTTCTGGGGTATTTTCCATTCCTTTCTGTTTCTTTAACATATCCTTTATGGTTCAATCTTTCTATAACTGCCTGATCTGTAGGATTGTTTGGTATACCTGTAATATGCTTTATATTATAATAAGCAAAAAACAGTTTCATTTTCTTAAGAGACATATGCTGAACCATCATCTGTTTTTATTTGGTCAGGTATACCCATGGTGGCCATAATTTCTAATAAATGTGTGATAACTGAATCAGCCTTTTCTGAGCTCAAAGCAGTTGCCCATTGAAAACCTGAATAAGTGTCAATGATGTGGTGTACATAATTTAATTTTCCAAAATCTGTAAAGTGGAACACATTCATCTGCCAGATTTCATTCCTTTGAGTACCCTTTGGGTTAATTCCTGCAGATAGCAGTGTTTGGTTATAGAAAGAGCAAGTAGGACTTCTGTTTATAATCCCCTTAGCTTGTTGCCATATAATAAAAAACT